CGAAGAAAAGCCATCGCACAGCAGCGCCTCACCCGCTTACCTCCACCGCCCCGCCGCCCCTGAGCGCCGCCATCTTGTTGTACGGCCACAACCTCTCCCCCTAAGAACTTCCGGGGGAATCCGGCGCTTTGTCAGCGAGAAGCCAGCCAAGCGGAAATGACAAAACACTCCCTGCATCTCTTTACTCCTCATCCTTCTTCGTCGCTCCGCTATGACGTATGCGCTGCGGCGCGCTGCGTGACGTAGTCGGCGGGGGGATTTGAAATAGAGGGGACGGCGCCAGCGCCGCTGTCGGTAACGGTCGCGCTGTCGGGAGGGGCTCTCCGGGGCGCAGGCCTTTCCCACCGAGGAGGACAGGGACAGAGACAGGACGGGGCCGCGCCGCGCACCGGGGGAAAGGCGATTTGAGGAGGCCGGGCCCGGCGGCGAGTATCGGCGTGTTGGCGTGTAAACGCCCTTGGCTTCTCTGTTTGCGTTTGATGCGGATTAAACGCGCTGTTAATGTAAGTGGAAGCAGTTGTGCACAGTTCTGCTGCGCTCCTTCCTTTTTTCCGGCTGGCGTGTGGGCGCTAGCAAACTGCTCTTAAAGCAGCGACTTGGTATGTTAATGAAGACAATTTACTTTGCTTTGCATCGCTGGTAAAGGAGTGGAAGAATATAGATTCTTCTATGAGGTCGTGGGTAAACCAGCCTGTGGAGTGGGCCTATGCTAAACTTCTGTCATGGTCTGCGAGAACTGGAACTAGAAATGTGATTGTGAAGCATAGTTTATATTGATTGTGTGTTTTGGTAATGTTTATAATGAAGGGCTTTTTTGATTGCTTATAATTCTGCCATTTGAGCCCATCCCAAAATAGATCCTCTGTAGAGGGCAAAGGTCAGCACTTTTTTCTGGGTTAATTCTATTTACCTCAAAATCCCACTTAATGCCACTGTGCGGACAGTTCAATGCTTGCAGTTTGATTTGTATTTTGTGTGTGTAGTCTGAAGATAACCATAATGCTCCAACCCTGGAATTCTTCAAGGCCAGGTTGGACAGGGCTGTGAGCTACCTAGTGTAGTGCGAGGTGTCCCTGCCCATGGCAGGGGATTGGAACTAGATGATCTTAAGGTCCTTTCCAACCCAAACCATTCTATGATTCTGTACTATTTCAGAATAGGCTTTCTAGTCATTGTGCTATGACATTGTGAGATCATTTTGCAAAATCAATAAGTAGGCTCAGAATTAGGGCCTAAGGAATAGATGGATGCTGAAGTGCTAGGAACAGTAGTCATTTTAATGTGTCTTTCCTTCCAGCTGATTAGACTGAAAAACTTCTTAAGCCATTTTGCTTTTTGGAACCTGTAGGTTAGAAGTTACCACAGATGAGTAAAGGCAAAATAGTAGGTTTCAAAAAAGCCCTGTCACTTTCATCAATAAAACAGTTAATTTGAAAGGCTGTGGCTGCTGCTACCTAGTTCTGGAGTCTCATGAACATTTTATGTGTGTGTGTTAATTTACATTTTTTTAAGAGAACCTAATATTTTTTGGAATTGTCACACTGATTGGCCCAAAGTACTGTTCTACTTATTTGTTCTGACCTTTTATAAAGTCGTTGTGGTGTTTAAAAATGTAAATATTCTTGGATTCTGGATTTTCCAATGCTGACAGGTTTTCACTTACAGTTTAGTCACAATGAGACGAAGCTCAATTATTGCTGGCAGCGCTGGTCGGCAGTCTATGATGGCACTGCGAGTGCAGGACAACAACAAGATGGGTCTTCAAACACCCCAGATGTAAGTGTTACTTAGCATCTGGTTAAGAATAGGTATATAAAACTAACTCTAAAGAGTACTGTAGTGTATTTGGGTGTCTAAGTATCAGCTGAAAAAAAAAACACGAACAGCAAAAAGAAAACTTTCTGCAGCTAAGGATATTTGCACAAGTGATCCAGTTCTGAAAAAAATTTTCTTTAATCTATTAGTATACCCATGACATATCTCAAATTGTAATGCTTTTTCCTTACGTATTTCTTTAGAGGTGGCTGGGGGAGGGCATGTGTATGAAATGTATACTTACATTTTTTTCTTGCAGAAGAAGCCATGATAATTGACAAATAATGCATTAAAATCACTTGGTTTTTCTGAGATGCTGCTATGCTGAGGATGCTTAGGCTTATATGCATGTGTTTATAGTTTTCTTACATGAGCAAAAGATGAAATGGTAGAAATACTCACTTGAATTCTTCTCCCCATCCCTTAGGAAGGACAGAGGTACGTTTGGGAAGCTAAGCATGAGCAAACCTACACCTGGAACTTCGGAAAGGAAAGTCAGCTTTTTTGGCAAGAGGTATTAAGCACTTTGGATCACTGTAATGTAAATTAAACCAATAACACTCCCACATCATTTTGTATTCTTTGTCTCTCGACTGCTTTTTGTTACAGGGAATAATGGATCTGAGGCTAGCAAACTTTCGGGTCTGCTTTCATCCATGCTTTGATCACTAAACAATAATACTGTGGAGTAGGAATTGCTCCGAGAGCTGTTCTTCCTCTTGGGAATGATATGCACTGCAGACCTTAAGAGGTCCTCAATACATTTGCCTGTTTAAGGAAGAACAGTGTCTTCAGTACACTCTGATTTAGGTTCTCCTGTTCTCTGAGATGCAAACCTTCCAAAAGTCTATAATCTTGCAGCTTAGTTAATGGTGTTCTGTGTTCCATTGTCTTGCAAGGATCTTCTTCCATAGGACCCTGCTGTTGCAGGGAGCTACTCCTTTTAAACATTCCTTAAATACTTTAGTCTTTATATTTTGTTCAATAAACTGAAGAAGATATTCACCTAGGATGCAGTAATCCCTCTGTTGAATGTGTGCATCATGGATTCCAGGTTGCTGTTGTTTTTCCAGTCATCATAAATGAAGAGAAACCTTCAGGCATCGAAACATAAAAATAGCAATTGTAGCAACTTAAACATTAAAAAAGTCCTTTATTTGTATTGTCACAAGAACCGTATGTATTTTTTGTTCTTAGAACTAGTGGGGTTGGAGGCTCACGCAACAGTCAGTATGGTGTGTTTGGTACAGAAAAGATCAAGGATCCCAGGCCACTTCATGACAAGGCATTCATCCAACAATGTATCAAACAGCTTTGCGAGGTAACTTTTTAACTTATTCTAAATGTATGTTGTTAGGCATAAGAGGTGGTAATCAGAATATTTCTTTTTCATGGTTTCAACTTTAGATTTTTAGTGAATAATATGCCATGTTTCTTTCAGTTTCTTGGTGAGAATGGTTATGCCCATAATGTTTCCATGAAATCACTACAGTCTCCATCTGTTAAGGACTTTTTAAAAATCTTCACTTTTATCTATGGATTTCTTTGCCCTTCTTATGAACTGCCTGACTCCAAATTTGAAGAGGAAGTTCCCAAAGTTTTTAAAGAGCTGGGGTAAGATTATTATTATTAGTCTGTTATGCTAAATAGATATGACCCAGATAGAAAATTAAAAGCTAAGAATTCTGCATGATAGCTGAGGAGAATGGATAGGCTTCATTATTCCTCTGAAACTACAATGTTGTGATTACTTTGGTTAATTTTTGTTTAGCTCCAAGTTTAATCTCTGGAGTAACTAATTCTCAGACTCTATTATACATTTTGTATTTGAACTTCAAGAACTACAGGTTGTTGGAAGCTGGCTTTGTAAAGTAAAATCTAATTATTTGTTTTTATGTCTTTTAAAATTTGAAAGACAGTCGCAAATCCTCCACTCCCTGGAAGAGTTCAAAACCAGGTTGGACGGGACTTTGAGCAACCTGGTCTAGTGGAAGGTGTTCCTGCCCTTGGCAGAGGGTTGGAACTAGATGAACTTTAAGGTCCCTTCCAACCCAAACTGGTCTATGATTCTATGAAAACTTTTTTACAGACTGTTCTGGTTCATTCTGTTAAAGTCCAAGAAGTAAAAAACCAATTTCAGAATGTTTAATTAGTTAAAAATAACTTTTCCTGTAATCTCTCTGTTTGCTTTCAAAGCAGAGAGTGGAAATAATAAAAATGACCACTGAGGTGAAACAACCACTAAGTAGCTGGGTGTTGTAATCTTGTTCAGTAAGTGTTTGGAACCAGTAATCCACCAACAACCAAGAAAGATAATCCTCTGCTTAATGGTAACGGTGAATTTTCAGGTCTTGTTAAAAAAAAGTGAAGTGTATTTTCCTAGTGTAGATCTGAGCCCATGATAGTGTCAAAGCACCAGGACTCCTTAGATATAGTTATAAATCTGTTCTGTTCACTTCTCAGTATTTTAGTAAAATCTTGGTTTAACCTATAACATTTGAAACTGCTGACCTAGCTGAGATGTTGAAAAGGAGGTTGTTCTCAAGAGGCTTTGCTCTGCTACACCAAGAGTGTAATCCTCCATAAAAAGGCTTATCTTGAGAACTCCAAGTTGTCTTTTGGAAGTTAGAAAACAGACCTAAATACTTAATTTTTAAAGATTCTTAGCCGGAATGGCTCATGAGCACTTATTTATAACTATCAGTTTATCAGTAGCTTCCTATTCTATGTTCTTAAAACAACTTTGGGCAGCAGTCCCTCTAAAGGCAGAATAAAGTCTTCACTTCTGTGTTTCTTGATATATAGAAGATTGAGATAATGTTTGTAACTAGCATGTTCCATATTTTTAGTATGTTAATACTTTTATATGCAACTGTTCTAAAATTCAAAATTTTCAAAGTGCCTTTGACCCAAGAAGCAAGAATCTTGCCCTCTAAGAATGGAACTCCTGTGTACCAATTTGTTTTCGTATATTAGGAAATCCTTCAGGCTTGCACACTCAGTTTGGAAGTCTAAACATCATCTATTGACTATTACTCCCTCCCTCATGTTTGCCTTTCCTTAGGGGTCTTTGTCTCATCATGAATCACCTCATGCTTACAAGTTACCCACTCCTTTTTCCTTAGTACTGCAGTGCCCACCTTTCCTCTGTAAGGGAGGTGAAGGAGTGTATGAAGGGACTAAGGAATGTGTGAAGGAATAGTTTAAATTGCTTTTTTATGAGGCCTGAATTTTTCCTAATCCTTGAATATGCAGAAGTCCATTTCTTCAATCATTTCTTCAACAGTGAGCCAGTAGAAGGAGGTGATTGTCCCACTATACACTGACTGGTGTGGGCCCGCCTTGAACATTGTGTGCAGTTTGCAGCACCTCAGTATAAGAAGGGCAACTATTAAAGTGTGTCCAGAGGAGGGTGGCCAAGATGGTGAAAGGCCTTGAGGGCAAGACTTACAAGGAGCAACTGAGGTCACGTAGTTTGTTTAGCCTGGAGAAGAGAAGGCTGAGGGGTGACCATCACAGTCTACAGCTTCCTCAAGACAGGCAGCAGAGGCTGAGGTGCTGATCTCCCTTCTGGTGACCAGCAGTAATACACAAGAAAATGTAATGAAGCTGTGTCAGGGGAGTTTCAGATTGGACATTAGGAACAGGCTTTTCACCAAGAGGGTAGTCACTTACTCAATAGGCTCCTCAGGAAAGTGGTTGCAGCACCAACACTGTCAGAGTTCAAGAAGCATCTGGACAACGCTTAGTCATATGGTTTAGTTTTAGTAGTCCTGCAAGGAGCAGGGAGTTGGACTCAATTCTTATGGGTCACTTCCAACTTAAGATATTCTTTGAATTAGAAATGAGAAACAGTTGGTAATTGAGTAAAGTAGTGCTGTAAGAACTCAGCTTACCTCCTTTGATGTACATTATAAAGTACAATTGAATTTGTTCTTCATCTGTGCCTTGATCTACATGTAAATAGTTGGTTTCATGTCTACTTGTTTTTTGTCACTTTGCCGCAGCTATTAAAAATGTATTTTCTTTGGCTTTGTAGGTACCCCTTTGCTTTGTCAAAAAGCTCCATGTACACAGTGGGAGCACCACATACGTGGCCTCAGATTGTGGCAGCTTTAGTGTGGTTAATTGATTGTGTCAAGGTAATATTTGTCCTTTTTAAGTCACATGTTTCCACTTTTTGGGCTGGAATGTTCATTTCAATACAGATCTCTCAAATGCTTTCTAAATATTTCTTTGATATTTATATGAAGAAAAAAGTAGGTGTTCTTACCTGCTATCTGGGAGCTAGTCCTTAGCCTTACTTTTAGTACTGAGATTTTACTGTTACATTATGATATTTTTTTAACTGTGTGCACTGGATAAATTTGTGTATGAAGTGTGGGGGGAGATGATGGCTTATACGTAAAAATGTGAAAAGTTACTGGGTGTAATCATGCATCTTCTGTGCATATCATCTTATGACATGTGCCATCTTCTCCTACATTTGAAATCTAAAGTGGAATTTTCATTAGCAATTATTCAAGTGTTCTGTGATTGTTTTAGAGAGTGGGGTGGGTTTGTGTTTGGGAGGGCTTTGTTTGTTTGTTTTTTAAAGTGTTAACTCTGTTGCTGCCAGCTCAGGTCTGAGCAAAATTTGAAATCTGTGACAGAAGTTCACCACTGCTTAACTGGTCACACATAAAAATCCCATCTTTTATGCTGGAAAGACCCATTTGGCTTAGCAAGGCAATTTGAAGTTAATGCTTTTTCACCGATGCTTTTAGTCAACTAAACACAGGCATATTACCCTGTGATTGGTCACATTCTGAAGCAGCATCTTTATACCTGCTTGCTGAAATCCTAATCCAGTGTTACTCTGCTTCTTATCATGAACATGAAACTAATATGAGAACTAATGTAGATCTTCACACTTGCTTTTTGTATGCACCTGTGCCTTTTAGTTGTATGCTGCCATGAGGGAAAATGCACCATCGTTTGATGATGGACAGAACAGGGGAGGAGAGACAGATGATGGAATTGTACATAACAAGGTACCATGATTATCAGAGCTGTTCAACTGGATTTTTCCATATGCTGTAACAACACAACTTAAATATGACACAACAATTTTATCTGAGTTTGTATATTCTGTTCTGGTTTATATTCACAGAGTTCTCTAGGAAGTATAGTCTCATTATACAAAAGTCTGATCAACTAGTTTTACAGAGTATAGTCTAAAGACAGTGACTTCATTATAAATATGGTGGCTTTTGCAAATAGCTACTCAGTTCACTGTTTAAAAATTGGTCATAATACTTAATTTTTGAGCCACAGAATAGTGTGGCAATGTAATTCAGGCACTTAAAAATCCATCAGCTTGCTTTCTTTAAAATTTATCATAGACTATTAGTACTTCTCAGATTTAACTTGGGGTCAACCCACAGCAGATGTTTGGAAAGGATTGTATGATGTGCAAAAAATCAAATTAAATCAGAATTTTAGACCAAGGTTACAAATCTGACAGTTGACAAGTAAAAATGCTTTAAAACTTACACCCCAATACATATGCATATCTGTTGAAACAAAATTTACAATACTGTTGTAATTGCTTCTGAAAGATCTGTAATTTAAAGTATCCAGTAAATTCTTCTTGCATAAACTTTAACTGTAGATCAGTACTCTTGACATCTGCATATCTGAAATATAGTGATCATATTTAGCTCTGTTAAACAGATCTACAGTTTTCACAAACTAGCATGAGAGGATCATATGCTTCAAGATAATAAATTCTTAAATATTGTATCTACTGTTATTGTTAGGTATTGCAGAAAAATGTATTGAGTATTTCCTTTCTTAATGTGAATTCTAGGCTTCACCTTTTGCCAGGATATAATCTGTTGATGTTCTGTGTTTTAAGAGAGGGGGAAATATGTTGATTTGTTGATGGTGGTTTTTTTTCCTTCCCTTTTTATTTTCTTTTTTCTTATTTTTCTTTCTTTTTTCTTTCTTTTTTCTTTCCTTTTTCTCTTCCCCTTCCTCCTTTCTTCTCCCTTCCTTCTTCTTCTCCCTTCCTTCTTCTTCTCCCTTCCTTCTTTTTTTTTTTTTTTTTTAGAAGTGCAGTCAAACATGTGAAAGATTTTTTATGTAAGTTCAATCCCATGGGTTGAGTAGATTTAGACTATGTAGATATTTTACAGCCCTTTCAGTTGTTGAAATGAAAACTTTTTAAACTGTTTTCAGGTTTTTATGGATTATTGTGTGAAGTGCTATGAGCAGTTCATGAAAGGGGGAGATACTTTTGAAGAATTGGATGCGGAAGTGCAGTCAAAATTAAGTAAGTTCTCACGTTTTAATGAAGAATTTCTGTTACTAGTTTCTTTCCTCTTAGCAGCAGTTATGCTCAGCTTACACGTGAAAGCGATCTGAAGTAGGGGAAGCCAAAATTCCCACGTACCTTTCAGTCACTCTGACTCGATGCTTCCTTTTTTATGCATTGTTACCAGTACAGACAGATGGATCATGCTCTGCTATCAGCTATCAGTTACCTGTGTAACCCTATTGTTTTCATGGCTTTGTGACAGAAAAGCCATATACAGTTCTTCAGATTCAAATTCCATCCATGCAGATGTTCTTGTCTGTCTGACAAAATTAACAGTTAAAAAAAGAAATATATTACCAGAGTGTGCACATTTGATGAATAAGGAAGTTCAGCTTCTAAAAGTTCTGAAAACAGCTTGCAAGTGTACCAAACTGTTGTTAAGGTTCCCATGTATGATTCACCATGCAACCTTGTTTATCGTCATGGAGATGGAAAAGTAAGTTTGTTTTTTGGGTTTTTTTTAATTGTTTCATCACCTACAGAAATACAAATAGAATATGAAAACAAGGAGGAAAAATAGTTCTTGCGTTCTGTGCCCTACTATGAAAAGCCAGACTAAAGACACTTCTATTGCAAGCTGGAGTCATCAGTTGGAGAGATAACAAGCTACCAGATTATTAGATATTAGCAGGAAAATGTAAACATGCCGTTGTTTAGCAAACACTGAGGAAAGTAAGGGAAAAAATGTCTCGAGAGGCAAGGAAGTACGCAGATGAGAAAGGAGTATACAAATCAGCCTACCTTGTGAACCTGGAATAGATGGAACTTGCCTAACAAACACCATCTTGTAGTGTGGGCTATATGACAGTTTGGAAACTGACCTCGCATGTGTGATTTTAACCTCTTAAGAAGTAAGTTTTCAGTCCTTATGTCATATCTTGTTTGTTTAGGTTTTTTTGCCTATTTGCTTTGCAGTGGAAGTGTGCAAGGTTTTTCTGATGGCTTTGTTAGAAGTTTTGGTTGGGTTCGTTTGCTGGTGGTTTTGTTTCTTTAAAATAATTGTCCAGATAATGGGTATTTACTGTGCTGAAGCTAAAGCACAGATACTCAGATTAGGTGATGATATTCAGTGAGATTAATTTGTAACTTCCACCCTTTTTCCCCCCACACCAGAGGATTTATTTAATATAGATGAATTCCAGATAGAAAGTTTAACAGCTGACAACAAAAGGCTTCATGAAGAGATTGCAAGATTAGAAAAAGAAAAGGAAAACGAGCCGGTTAGTAAATTACATCTACACTTGTTTAAATGGTGGAGGTGAATTTTCTGTTATTGACCATTATTAATTGTTGTTAAGCACAGATACTGGTGATATATTGAAAAAAATGTAAAATTATTTTCAGTGCCCTGAGATTTTAATTAGGTTAGGTTATTACAGATTCTGTACCATTAACTCAAGGCATTTACTGTGGAATCTTCAATCACTCTTTGATATTGTGCAGATATTTTCAGGTAATGAAATCTTGCATTGACTGAAATATTAATAGGATAGTTGAACCAGTTTTTCTGAACGTCAACATTATTTTTTCAAAACATGTTGGTATGAGAACTCCTTAGGAATCAGAAGGACTTTTTATAAGAGCAAGTAGTGACAGGACAAGGGGTAGTGGCCTTATACTGAAAGAGGGTAGATTTAAGTATTAGGAAGAAATTCTTCACTATGGGGGTGGTGAGGCACTAGAACAGGTGCCCAGAGAAGCTGTGGCTGCCCCATCCCTGGCGGTGTTCAAGTCCAGGTTGGACGGCACTTTGAGCAACCTGGTCTAGTGGAAGATGTTCCTCCCTGTGGCAGGCGGGTTGGAACTGGATGATCTTTAAGATGCCTTCCAACCCAAACCAGTCTATGATTCAACAGTAACTATATTTTTTAGAGAAAATTTTTTTGTTCAAAAAGTTGGATTCTGCTTTTAATACATCATTAGTACAAAAATAGTTTAGTGGCTGTGCAGCTGGCAAATTGAGACTCCTGTCTACTGTGCAAAATGGGCTCATTATGTTCCCAGCTTTCCATAGTTTTCTGCCCTTTGTGTATTATTATACTTAAGCTGTGAATTACCTGTATTTATTAATGCAATGCCTGATGCAAATCAAAGACTAAATGCGAGAGCTATGGTACAAACCATATTTTCAGACCTTTTTGTTATTACCTTAAAGATACTTAACTTGATTCAGCTGTCACAGATACAATTTGTTAAAGTTCTTTAATTTTATATTTATACTATTGAAGTTTACCGATTAATCTATTGTCTTGTCTGGAAAGCAAGAACATTATTTTAGATAAATATAATAATGGCTGTTCTTTCAATCCATTTACTAGGATCGTAGAGTATCACTACGAAATGTGAAAGCATCTCTTCAAGCAGACGTCCAGAAATACCAGGCTTATTTGGCTAATCTGGAATCTCATATAGCCATCCTTGATCAAAAAATGAAAGGTGTTAATGAGGAAGTTGAGACAGCGGGTAAGAAGGCTTTGGTCACAAATGCAATAGTGAAGCTAGAAATAGGTTTAAAATAATTGTAATTCTCAATGTCAGGATAGAGAGAGACACTTATTTTATGATGATGGCACAAATAACTTTGCAAAATGGATTGCTAGTAGTGGTTGTTATTTGGCTGATAGCTGCTTGTACACCAGAGTAATTGAATAGTTATTATTTACTAATAAAAATACAGAGACATGTGGTTTAACTATATACGCTGGTATTTTACATACATTTCACAAATGTTTTGTAAACTTAGAAATGGAAGTGGAAGCTATGAAGCAGGAGAATGCCCGGCTCCAGCACATCTTCGATAACCAAAAGTACTCAGTTGCGGACATTGAGAGAATAAATCATGAGAGAAATGAGTTGCAGCAAACCATTAACAAGCTAACTAAGGAAGTGGAAGCAGAAGAACATCAGCTGTGGAATGAAGAACTGAAATATGCTAGGAATAAAGAGGCGGTATGTGAAAACCTTACTACACTGAGAGGTGTCTATCAGTTTTCATCATGCAAGCTTAAATATGGGACTTGGACTATTGCTAACTTCTTTCCTAAATAATCTTAACAGCAGCATTGATATGTCTTAATAGTCTAAAGTGACAAGAATGGGTTCTGTTTACAATCTCACTGAAAAAATGTGAGATGGTTGCCTTAGTTTTGTGGGGTTCTTTTTTTCTCCTTTTCTGTTTTGACCATAATGGAGCTGTATTCTTTCAGGTTTGGGGTTTTTTTTTCCTGCATCACAAGGGACATAGCTGAAATGTGCCCCACTGTCAGCTCTCGCTGTTATAGCATCAAGAACTTCAACATTAGCAATTTCAGGCTAATGTTAAGATTTCGTGGCAAGGAAGTAATGCAAAACTAGAGCTTTAAATCAGTATCTGCATGCATTTAGTGCCAGATTAGTCCTTTATATGGAAGGCGTAATAGCTTTTAAGGGCCAAATTCAGTTCCCTCAAACAGAATGAAAGGATGTGGTTCTATACATGGTGGGATTTAAAAGCTTCTGCTTTGCTAGATGGAGAACTAAAGAACTTGCATTTGGCAGGGTTACCCTTTATCAAACACTTGGTATTAAGTTAAATTCCTCATACTGTGAAAGTATGAAGCACATAAAACTATAAAAAGTACTTCTGGGTTTTGGCGTTCGCATGTAAATGGCACTCATTAATCAGAACACAGAGCATTTAATAAGTTCCGTCTAGAGGTATGCTTAAATGTTCTTAGGATATGCATCCTTTCCTGTCAAAACTAACAAGGAAAGCATATCAACATGATGACTGATCATTGTTTTAGTTATCTGTATTCTTTTCAAGCATTCTTTCTCCTTCCTTATCAACTACTCCTCAAAAAGCTGAGGCAGCAAAAAATACAGCAGATAATTAGGGAAAAACCACAGGTGAAACCATTCAGTCTCACACACGCTGGAAACCTTGAAGAGCAAATTCTGAAAGAATCATAAAACAGCACTTAATCCAAGCAGTGTAAACTGCTGGACTGTCAGTACTTACAGCTTCTGCATACTGTGGCATGACATGGAATCATGTTTCTACACAGCAACTCAGGAATCTGTTTAAACCTCTACATGTATAATTTTTGCAAAGCTTTTCACTTGTATTTTCTGTATGATTTTTGCCCTTTTCTCCTCTGAGCAGATTGAAATGCAACTGGCAGAGTACCATAAACTGGCTCGAAAGCTGAAATTAATTCCAGTAAGTGCTGAGAATTCCAAAGGTCACGATTTTGAGATTCAGTTTAATCCTGATGCAGGACCAAGTTGCCTAGTCAAATACAGAACTCAGATCAAGGTAAGTAGAGTCAACACCAAGTGTTTCTGTTACCACTCACAAAAAAAATGTTTATTTGGAAGTGCTGAAAGGTCTCTCTTAACCTCTCCATGAAACTTAATTGAAAAGGCTTGTGTGATGTATTGCCATAACTACACTAATATAGGAAGGAAAATTGGTGTTAGAGGGTATAGCAGCCTAAATAAAAACAGGAGAGGGAAGAGATGTACTGAGATACATCTTAGTTCAAACTAAAAAATTCCATTAACCAGATCTTATATGTGTATTACAGGGTCCCCTTATGGAGATCATAAACCAGACTGAGGAAGAAATTAGGAAAGCTACTCAACAGAAAATGGCTTTGGAAGATACTTTGGAACAGGTCTGTTAGTTAATGAAGATTAGGACTAAAATACTATAATGTTTCCTGGTGGTCTCATTTGGCCTTTTGCATGGGTGAAATGTGGTGTGGTGGGTTGGTTTTGTTGGGTTTTCTTGTTGGGTTGAGATGGGGTTTTATGGGGTGGAAGGAGAGTACTATGAGAAGATTGCTTTCATTATGATGAAACCTAAAAGTTTTTGTGAGACTTAGGGTCTCCTCCTGTTGGTTTAAATACTATGTATTCCCCGCATTGAGGATTTCACAGCTTACATATATTTGACCATAAACATTGGAAAGATTTGGCTTTAGTAATTTGCCCATTCCAGTCTCTTGTGTGGCTGACAAGTTGTCATCAGGAAGATTTTTTTTAGCAATATTGGGTTCAGGATGGTTTAAATATTTCTAGGCTACCACGTGTTGCTTGTGATGGCATGGGTTCTTTTTGAATTCTTTTTGAATTATATTTTCTTGGTCATGTTTTCATTTTAGATGAATGTAATGGTAGTAGACAAGAAAAGCAGTGTGAAAACACTGAAAGAAGAAGCTGAAAAGCTGGATGATCTTTACCATCAGAAGCTTAAGGTAGAGCTTTTTAATTTGATGACAATCTATCCTTAATGATATCCTTAATATTTGTATTTATACTTAAGTTTTAGGTTTGCATTTTTTTTTGTTTGGACCTCTCGCCTTACCTTGTTCCATTCCTCTTGCAGGATTCTCTAATTCTTTTCAGAAATATTTCTGTGCTACCCTAAGTGAGCCAGTTTTCACTTTACTGTAAGAGAATCTGGCATCATACTTCGGCAGATTCTGTAAATCATAAGCTGATAAAGTCAGTAATAAAAGTAATGGAAGTCATTTCCTGACCTCAGGATTTCTCAAAGCACATGCTTGAAGGAGATTTTAGAGTTAACAGAATCTGCCTTGTCTAATTCAGTTTGTATATATTAAATACATTTACAGGGTTTAGTAAACATGTTCAATCACATTAAAAACTAAGGAAGAAATTACTTGACTAAAAGCACACTAAATGTTGTAATAATATAAAACTGCTGCTTCCTTGTTTTGGGTTTTTTTTTTTTTTTCGTCCCCAGTGAGGGTGCGGTCCCTATCCTAAGTGGCTACTTCAGTACCTCCCAACTATCAGCATGGCTTTGGCGAGGCTGTGGTGCCCAGGAGAAAAATGCTTTTTGAACTAAGCTAATATTTCATATAACTGCTCTTCCACATCAAATTCCTGACCTATAACCACAAATAGGGTTATTTAATTGCTAATGTTTTTGCTTAGGTGGCTGAGGGCAATTCATTTAGTTTATACCTGAAACTTTATGTTTGGGGGCATGTCCTTGTTTAGTTTTCTTAGTTCTGAGTTTGGAGTTCCTTTTTTAAATTCTGAATTCAAGTATCAGAATGTAATCAGATAATGTAAATGAGGAAAAAAATCCTAATTAGTCCTGAGTTATGCAATTTATATATTTTTCCTCTTATGTTTACAGGAGGCAGAAGAGGAAGAGCAAAAATGTGCAAGTGAACTGGAATTGTTAGAGAAGCATAAACAATTACTTGAGAGTGGAGTCAATGAAGGTCTCAGCGAAGCCACAAATGAATTGCATGACCTTCAACGACAGTAAGGCCCATAACTTCAAGTTGTTTGTGTAGTTTATTTTGGGGTTTATGTGTTCTAAGGATAAAGACATTTTCTTGAATCCTGGCATAAAATTCCTTGCTAAGCTGCTACCCATTTCAGTATATTAATTTCACAAATTCATACATTTAGTATTTTGCTATAATATTTCTCTGCTGTATCAGAACTCCTGATACCCATGTAATTTTCTTTTCATATATATGGTTGTAGTAAAGAAATTAGTTTGTTTCCAAACTTATGTGACAGCTACATTTTTACAGCCCTACAGTCTGGAAGAACTGTTCTGGCTCTAGTCTGACTCTAAGGCACTTTGTTTCTTACTGGTTAGCAGAATACAGTCCTTTTTCTTCTAACTCAAGTATTAATGTATAAATCTAACTTGGTTCAAGTTAAGACTAGTAGAAAAAAATTATTGCTAAAGATGACTATAGATGAGACTTGAAGTGATTGTTTTAAATGTCAGGAATTTAATAATTATGGACATGACTTTCTGAGTGCCTTTACTTTTCAGGTATCAAGTTGTTCTGCAAACAACAACAGAAGAGAGAAGGAAAGCTGGTGATAACTTGCATCGTCTTTTAGAAGTGATTGCTAGTCATGTACTATCCACAGAGGTAAGCTAAAACTTGATATTCCTAATGAATTCTTTCTAGAAACATTTGCAACTGCAGCTAAACACATGGAAATTAGAACTTTTTCCAATAAAGTAACAGTTTTTAGAGCTGCTTTACTGAGTCTGTGGATTCTAGTTAAATAAATTTGTTGACAAAACCTTTGGCACAAGTAATCAGAACTGATCATTAAATTTCAGCAATAACATCCTGTCAAGTTTAATCTGCTTCTAGCAGACATCTTTCAAATAAGTGTTTAACTGAAATCACTTAACCTGTTCAATGACTGCTTAAAATCCTTTAGCAGAACAAGTTCAATAGAGACCATGATAGTTCTAATAAACTTTCTATAACTCTTCTAGAAATATCTTGAAGAACAGAATGTGAAAATTGAGAAAGACTATAAGGAATTCACATCTGAAGATCTATTGTCAACCTTGACGGGAATTCTAGATAGTTATAAAAAGAAGGCTGAAAGTCTATAATTGCCAAAAAGATGAAGATGAAAATTTCTGAAGCTCTGGTATGATGTCTTCTAAAAGGATGGGTTCTTCTTGCGTTCAGCAGCGAAACTGGTTTTAAGTGTAAAGAAATGTTTGTATGAACTTCCTTTTGTTTTATGGACACAAATACATTAAAAAATTAACCAATATATTTGCCTTTTCTTAGAAAAGGCTTTGCTTACACTTCCTCCTTGCTATGTATTAAACATGATTATAAACATCTGTTACAACTGTGAAACAACTGAATTTCATTTTTCTTTATAATAAAATAATTTATCTTCTGGGGACATTAGTAAGACAAGAGTGTAGTTAACTTGTTAACAGTTACAAGTCAGAGTGGACTTAAAGATAGAATTGCAAGTGACAGCACAAATGCAGAGGGAAGTGACAACTTGAAATACTGCTACTTAAAAATAACTACTGTTTTTTGTAATTGTATAAGATTTCTAACAAAAAAGTTATACTTTCCCTTCTAGAGTATAGCTTGTGTGTTTCCTAATATACGTGTATAGTTAGCACATACACATGACTGCATATCCATCCCCAAGCCTTTCTTGTAGCAGCAAGATCAAATGTAAGTGTATTTCAGTCTGCATCTTGTTCAGTTATCTATGAAACTGCCCAGAGACCACGCTGTACATACTGTACTTTTTTAACCAAAACCTCTTTAAAAAGATTAGTAGTTACACTGTAGTCTTGTGATAGTCTATTAGTCTAGAGAAGGGTAGTCAGTTTGAAAACAAAGCTGTCTCTAACTGCTGATAGTCCCAGATGAAACCTCACTGTACTACTTGAATGTGTAAACTAGAGATAACTTTAAGTAGGGCAACGTGAATTCTGGCAATATAGCTAGTCAGTTGTAGATTTAGTTAATGTTTGATACATCAAAATGGTCCAAAATGAGTCTGCATTCTTAAGATAGACCAGTAGGCCAGGCTCAGTTTTATTTTTCTTCCTCAGTAATATCACAGTAAAATTAGTGCATGGGGAACTCCAATCCAAATACATTGAAGAAAATGTAACCCATCTCTTGAACATATTCTTCATTGTTCAGCACTATGTGGAAGTAGTATCTTACCGTACTCATACATGTATATACCTTTGTTTGGGGGGTGGAGAGAGAGAAGAAAAAAGTAATAAAAATTCAGCATTTATGTCTTGGTTAGTTTAGTTTATGATAGCATTTTGTAATAAAAGTATTGAAGTATTTCGGTGTTTTAAGAGTTCAGTAATAAATATCATTGATTTGAAAAAAAAATTACAACTCTGCAGTCTGAAAAAAGGGGTTTAGCAGCCAATAGTTAAATTAAGTTGTTCCTTAGTTCTATAATTAGATAAAATATTTGAATGAAACATGGATCCCTAGGATATACAGCAAAACTTAAGCTGGACCAAAACTTAATCTGAACACAGGCTGCAAATTGAAACCAAATTATCTTTAGTTCTAAGCTATTTTTGCATAGGATATATAAAACTCTTTAACATAGTGTGTGACTCTTCTGGCTCTGGTGTAAGTATTTTATTTTAGATATTATGATAATGGTAGCGTTATTTAAGCTTCTAACTTTCTGTTCTTTTGTAGTACTGCAGACATTTAATTTGACAGCTATAACAGTTTTCTGCCAGGTGGGTAGTATTTCTGCTTCCTTCTGTGATCCTCTTTTCTCTTTTTTTGTAACTGCCTGGTCCTTATCAAATCTCAGTTCCTTCTCTGTAGAAGCTTTCTAAAGCAATATTCTTCTAATTAAGGAAAACTGTGAGCCACACAGAAAAATCATGTTCCTTTAAAATATGTGTTTATTTAGGGACTATTGATAGCTGTTTGTCTCTGCTTCTGTAACTGACTGTTCTTGTGTTTATTAGTATCCACAGGTTCTTTGCCATGTGAGGTAGTCAGTAGACTGAGTAAATGAAAGCAAAATAAATGTCATTTCCAAGGACTAATACTAACCTAATGGTAGTGGATTAAAAAGAATCAAGGTCACGACAACTTTTTTTCATATACTGGCAAATGTAATATTCTGAAATTAACCTTCTGTAATAAAAAGTCCACATTTGTAATGATGGCAGCATGTTTTTGTTATTGGGCCGTACTGATCTGTATGTCAGTTAAACTGAGTTGACTCTAAAACCAGCTCAGGCTCTGACCAAGGTTCTGTAAAATACTGTGGTGATTTTTATGTCATAGTACAACACAGATTAACATCGGCCTGTGTGTACTAGGTGATGTCTCTAAACATTTTAGAATGGAGGGAATTTTTCAATGCTTCCTGAACATGACTTCTGTGTGATATTTGAAGTCAGGTCATCAGTTATTTTTTTATTTGTATTCTGGAATATGACTTTCAAATTTAGACAATAGATGCTAAAACATAATTACTGCTCTTGATATTGGTTGTTTTGTTTCCTTTTTATTTTTTTTGTTACCAGAATGTACCACTGGCACCTGGTACATTTCAGTAGCATGAGTAATTTGTAATTGCTTTTGGCTTTTGTGTGGATACAGTTCCCTCACTTGTTGCTAGTGTATCTTTTGTACAGTTTACTTAATATGCCTTAAGTTTATGTATATTTACACTTAATAAAACTTCTTAAACCTCTTTCTCTGAAGGATAGATTCCTACTGCAAGTATAGAAACATGGCATAAAAAGCACAATTAACTTGATTTTTCCAGGAGGGACTATGTAATTATCTTAGCGGCAGGTACTAATTCCCTGACTATCCTTGCTATTAAATGTGCATTGCGTAGAAGAAAATTATAGAAACATCTCTTTCCTATAAATTGCAAAGGAATAAAATTTGTCTTTTAAAAACCTTTTAAAAAAATAGATGGATTTTTTAAAACTCTAAGGAACAGAAGTCCAAGCTACTTTGACAACTGATTTATGCATCAAGATATTCCTTTGGCATTAATCTTCCCAACCAAACATTTGCTCTCTCAAGCATTAAAGGATTTCTTCCTTTATATGACCACTCTTGACTTTTTTTATTTTAACTTTTAATCTAGTTATAAAAAGCTGACACTTAATGCTATAGAAGTACGGTAGAACTGTGTTTATAGCTTTGTTCCTCACTGGAGTTTTACATTTCAGGTGCTTGTTGAAAGTTCTTGATGGTATCCATTCCTTTTGAAGGAATGAAAGGAGCACAGAAGTCTCACACAGGCCTCTGTGTCCCTCACTGGATGAGGGACTACCACTGCCTTGGCCAATGTCATATCTCGGGGAAGTCCACTGGCACCTTCAGACCTGTACCAGGAGACTGCTCAGTCAGTCTGTGAAAATTCTTCATTTTACAGGCTTTTTCTGTAGAACTTGATTTGGCTCCAGGATTTTTCTAGCAGATGCCAGTTAGCATCAGTACAATAGCAAGACCTGGGAGAAGAGTCTCTGCACACAGTTTTGCTGTCTAGTTTTTACATTTTCAGATTAAAAGTTTCCTAGAGGAATAAAAGGCAGTTGTTACTTATCACAGGTCAGGCAACAGTAAAGAATGCGAAGCAGAGAAAATGGTCTAGCTTTATTGCTCACACTTGAGACTATCCATGGTGATTTGTAGAACTCGTTAAGAACTCGCCAACAAAGTTGACAAGCAGGTATTCTTTATTGCAGCGCTGGGAGACACAGGGGATATCTCCTCCTAATGTGTGTCTCGTTTAACCATCAAACAGACCGTGATTAGATTGTTGCTTAACATACATATTCATTACATTTCCGATACATGTCGTACATATGCATTAGTTGTCCGAGAGCTGTTTTACATAATTCCATGCCTATTTTCACATGCACATAACAACGTGGTAGTGGTCTTCGGTGGTCATTTACTTCTTCCAACCATCTTCATCACTTGCCCGTTCCTTGAACCCTTGTTCTGGAAGTCTTTGAAGCATGCGCAGTAGATAAATGCTTACACCAGCTTAATTAGTTTGGTAACACCACTGACATGAGCGAGTGATTTCTCCTCGTCCTTCTACTTATCAGTTAACTTCGCTACAGCACCTCCTGAACATCTGCTGGTTTCAGATACTCCTGAGCTACAGTCCTGTTTTGGTTACAATAAATTTTGTCCAAAGGTCATAAGGTCCTAAAACTGTCAGCTACAATGATTTATCTTATACAAGGATCCTTTTATTCTCTTTTAATTGGGCTTTTTAGGTTTGGAAAGTTTTGTTGTTATGTACAAAGCCACCAAACTTAAAGTTACTTAAAACTTAATTTTCTTATTTTACAAAGGATTATATTTCATTTTGTACTTCCTTGTCTCAATGGTAATGATCTGACCATGGGGTACCACATAAAACATGACAGATGGCAGGTCTGTTGTGCTCCGCTCCCTGTTGGAGAGCAGACCATTCTGACCAATTGCCGAGGTATCTCCCGAGAGGAGGCCTTGAACAGCGG